CCCTAAATGGAAATCGGGGAATTCCCAGGGCGTAGAGGACCCGAGAACGGCTGTCGGTTGTATCGACCGAGACGGAAAGGGCGGCGAAGGGAGAGATGCTGCCGGCGAGATGGTGGGGGATGCTGCGCGGTTTAAGGGTGGACGCACGTTGCCTGGCAACCTTCCCGCAGCATCCCTCCTGGACCACCGCCGCCGCCACCGCCACCGCCCCTATATCCACCGCCGCCATCGACGACTTCCACGATCATTGTTGTCGTCGTTGTTGCGCGTCCGCCATTATTCAGGATCGATATCTCACCCCGAGACGTCTCGTTTTCTCGATTCGTCGTGATTTCCGTACGTACACGCGCGCATGTGTGTGTGTGTATGTTTATATCTATATTATATATATATATATTCGCTTTTTTTCCAGGTTAATCCTGGAATCTGACAGTTCGAATCATAATTGGAAGTTGGAATATGTGCAATGGGGAGATTCTGTAAAAGTCGGTATTTAAAAAATTTTTTAGATACAAAGCAAAGGAAGAGAAAGTTGAAAATTTATTTGAGGATTTTCTAGCAGTTAGTATCTTAAAAAAAAATCTAAAAAGTCCTAGACCTCCAGATTTCCTAGATTCCAAGAATATAAAGAGAATTTGACCCAAAAAGAAACGAGAAAATGTCAGTTTCGAAGTTAGAAAATTATGGCATCTCTAAATTTTGGACACATTACTATTTTACAACTCTTATTTAATCAGGAAACAAAAAGTCAACCCAGACAACATAAAATAGGGACGTAAAACGTCTCCAGGACGTCTTTTAGACGCTTTTCAGACGTTTCTCGCAAACGTGTTTTTAAAACGCTTTTAGACGTCTTTAAGACGTCTTACGTTCCAATTTTGAACTTTATGTTGTCTGGGAAGCTTTGAAAATTCTTTAATTAACGAATACCTAATGGTTTCTTAATAACGTTCATTAAAAAGATACGTTGTAAAATAATTTGAAGGATTTAGGCTTGTAAATCAAATATTCTGAAGTAATGCTACCGTGTAATAATGTCGGCTCGATAGGCATTACTTCAGTATATATTTGATTTATACACTGTAAATATTCGATATGACAAAAAAATAGAATGACGTTAAAAAGAAAGAAAACTCTAATCCTACAAATTATATTATAAATTATTATGTAAAGCGAGTGTAAAAAATAAACATCGAGATGTGTAAAAAAATAAAATGTGTATGCATAAAACAATCAATTTGTTGCATCTTTACTTCCTAGCACACTTATCCTGCAAATGTATATCATTTTTATCATTACAGATTAATTATTGAAGTAAAAATTCATAATTAGTTTTATTTTTTAATAAACTTACGTAGAAATGCAATATTAAATAAAATATAATTCACACATTTAATTTCACTTCATTTCACCTCACGTATCCACATTTCGTCAATTTGTTTTAAACTTTGCTCGGCACCATTTTTATATACGATAATTTATAGCAAAAGTTATTGTAACAAAAATTATGCTATGTACAGCATCAACTAATGTCAAAAGTTTCAATTTCGTTAATTAATTTTTGAAGTAATCTTTACAATTAATTGAAAGCTACAATTAAATTTAATAATCGTACTAATTTCCACCGTTGTAACTTTACAGTGAAAAGAGAAAATTTCCCAGCTTATCACACTTTTTAAATCTAATTACGAAATTGTATTATATCAACCCGTTTGTTAATGTACCCATTTATCTTAATAAAAAGTTGCCGCTCCGCTCTATTCATATTCCGCGCCGCTGTTTTTCCTCAACAAAGACCTAAGAAATCGGCTAAGTGGCAGAGAGATTGATCGTTATATGGAAGCTAATGTAGCGATCCTTTATACTTTTCTTCCGCGTTATCCCTTTATGATTCGAGAAAAACGACGCGATCGCGCGCCAGAGATAAATCTCTCTCTTTCTACATCTATCCCAGCATAAATCGCGGGAGCTTGCATCGCGCTCCCCGGGAAGTTTCGCAATCGTTTCGGCGGTAGGGAACATCAATTTTCACGCGAGACACCGCGAGGAACTTTCCGCGCAAGGAGTTGGTTATGCACTCGCGAATATCTTTGCGGAACTTTCGGTAATGATAATTATTTTGCCACCTGTTGCAAGCCTTATAATTCGCGGCAACCCGAAAGGGTTCAAACTGCCTCCCCCTCCCTCCCTCCCTCCCCCTCCCCGCTCAACTCTCCTAAACGACACTCGATAGTAACTGAGAAACAATGAGAATAGAAAATGAAGATGTCGCAGCTGGTAGGAAGCGCAGATCTCGAGTCAGAAGAGAGATTATCTAATTATCCGATATAGTAGCGTAATTTATCGAATCAGCTGTTGCCCCAAAAATTGGCAGCGATCCTGCCCCGTCGCGATTCACCAGAGTCGCCATTCATCCACCGCGCGATCCTGGTCTCGCCCTCCTCCTGCGCGATCGTCGAAGGTAAAAGTAAGAGGTCCGCCATTTCTGACATCGTCCCTCCCGCCCCGAGCTCCCCCCCCCCTCCCATTCCTCCTGGTCGCCCCGTCCTGTCAGGGATTGCAAATTTCCTCTCGCCCCATCGACCCTGCCGGCGCGCGTAGGCGCAACAAAGAAATTCAGATGAAGGTCACTTTGCCAATGGGAAGATAGACTGGCGAACGGCTGCAGGGGCGTAGGGAGGACGCGAAGAGGATGCACGCGAAACGACGCCGTTCGCTTGGCGAGCGGGAGGAAGGGAGAGGAGAAAGGAGGCTCGCCGCTCGCGCAAGTTTTGCACCCTCCGCGACCCGCCGCCACGCCGCGGCCTGGGAGCCTGACTTCCATTCAAGCGATGTGTTCTTAGGACGACCGCAGGCGATCCCGATCGCCGTTGGTCGGCTGCGTTAACGCGATTATTAACCTTCTGCGGCCGCGTTCCCGCTCTGACGTCAGACGGACGGACCAGATTCTGCGAACGTTTGCTTTTCAAAGTTTACAAGATATATTTTTAGTCGAAACCAATTATTGCTGATATTGAGAAATATTTGCTATAAAACTGCACCGCAAGACCATTTAAGATTAAGTTTAATTCATTAGTCCTCAATCACTTGTTTAACTCATTAGTCTTCATCGCTTCGTAAGTTTTGTAAACATTAATTTGCGTTTGTCGTTTTCAGTTGTATTTGCGAATTTTTTATTATAATTTTTTATATTACTAGTGTATTTGCTAATTCTTTATTGTGATGTTTACCGCAGACTCTTAAATTTAAATATAATTTTACAATTACTTCGTTGGATTTTTTAATAAAATCAAAATCTTCAATGAACGTTTTTCGAGAAGACAGAAATCCCGACAGAAATAGGCAACGCGATATTAATTTGCACGATCCTCGACTTATATTTGACAACTATCGATCGGATAAATAAAATATAAGAATCTAAAGATAATTGAAGCCGTTATTGCGTGCCTCGAAAGAAGCGGCTTGCATTCGCGCGCAAGCAGTTGACTTAATTGGACTTCGGATCTCTGTGGAGATATCGCGAGAGCGAAAGAAATTCTATACAGAACGGGGACGGAGAGGCGGGAGAGCGAGAGGGATTGAGAGGGAGCAGAGAGTGCACTTTATGAAATTGCATCGGGTATAATCACATATTTTCTTCATGGCTCGAGTCGCGGCTTAATTCGGATGATGGTACTTCGCACGAAGAACGCGGGCTAAGGGATGAGAAACTAAGGAAAGGTACAGCGATAGAAAATAAACGAGATGAACGCGAGGGAGGAGGGAAAGGAAAATAAAGAACGGCAGACAGGAAGGGACAAGATGGCTGCAGGTGGAAAGATAAATGAATTGGAAAGGGAAATAATTGCAAAATAAATAAATTGCGCTATATAAATTGATGGAAATTAATTATCACAATTTCTCTCTCTCTCTCTCTCTCTTTCCTAATTATAAATTATAGACGAAATTAACCGTGAACTGATAAGCCCGTCTGTAAAAGTGGAGAACACCTGGCCAAGAGAGCCTCGCGGAAGTTGACAGAAAAGACGCAGAAGTTCCAGGTCAGGGCGAGGAGAAGGCGCAGAAGAAGGAGGAACAGAGGGGACAGTCGGAGGAGAAATAATTCTGCGCGTCTTCGCGGGGAAAACTTTCGGCCTGGTTCGCAGAACACGCGCGACGTCGAGTAACATCGCGCGTGAGATGTAAAATTATACAATGAGAAATACGTTTCGCGTAATAATCACGAGAAACGTAACCAGAAAGGGGTGTGAGAGACAGAGAGAGAGAGAGAGAGAGAGAGAGAGAGAGAGAGAGAGAGAGAGAGAGAGAGAGAGAGAGAGAGAGAAGGGGAATGCGCGGGGATGCTCGCGTGGGACCGCGGGGGAGGAGGAAGGAGGGGTAGGAACGGGAGATACGGGGTGAGATCAATACGGGGTCGCTAGGCAACGAGCCTCCGGCGATCTCGGTCCGGGTAGACAGGGTGCCGCCAAGCAAGCCGCTGTAACCGCCCCGCCACCCCCGGTGGCGGCTCAACCCCCTCTCTTCCCCTCTCCCCTCCCCGACAACCCTCCTCCTCCTCCTACTACTACCCCACACCCCCGAAAGCGCCATATTCCACATAATAAATACCGGCAACTGTGCAACACGGCGCGCGGGATAACACGAGGAGAAGCACCGGCGAAAATGGTGCTCGCCGACGACGATGAGGACGACGAGGACGACGCGAAAGGAGATCAACGGGAGTTCGACGAGAATTCCTGACGGGTTTAATTAACGGGCAGCCAGCCACCTTTCGAGCCCCATTCGAATTTCCTGTAGCACTCTCGCCCGATATCTTTTCCATGATGCTAGAGGACATTGGTATTGTTCATGTGTGTGCAATAATTTTGCGCAATATTATTCTCTTTTACGTAGAAGTTTTTGATTTTCTTGGATTTGAATTTTTTTTTCTATCTACATAAATAATATTTATATGCAATATAAATAACATTTATAGCTGCAAGAAGTAATATTTTAAATTTGTTCTACGTGCTGGTTATTGCTTGTTAAGAAAATAATGCTATTTGTAGACCATTTGCATAAAAGTGATCTACTTTTTCTGGAAAGAAATTTTCATGGAAATACTTTTCTGTGAAAAATCTTTCTTAGAAAACAGCATTTTATAAAGCACACACGTGTCTTATATACCTCAAGTAAATATTAATATAATTTTTATTGATCGGCGATAATTATTTACTTTTTCTCTTACATTCTATGTTATGTGAAAGGCAGAGTACGGAGAGATTTCCGAACCCATCGTTCTACAACCTTTCAAAAGTTTAAAGAAGCCACGCATAAGTTATATATCTGCGTTATTTTACTCAGTCTCTTGAGCACAAAGAACTTGATATCGAAGAAAAATTAATCATCGCGACTCTGATCTTTTCGAAATGAACTCTTTCGGATCTTTAAAGAGAGATAACTAAACATTATCCGTTCGAAACGATCGAAGGGATTTAATTACCGCGAAGAAAATCAATTACGGCGACGGTTATATATATTTTCTGAGGCGAGCTCATTAAAATGTCCGGTCTCTCGTGGATTTTATCTGCGAGCTGGATATCAATCCCGGTTATTAGTCCGACAATTGGCACAGCATGGCGGTGCCACGCAGGATCCAGTGCTCCGGCGGACGCGACGTCGGCAGCCAGATCGCGATGACGAAGTTGGTCGAGTGGCCGGTGGTCGACAGCACGCCCTTCCGCTCGGTGGTCTTGTACACCGGGCACGTGTACGTGTCCCTGACCTGCACCTGGTCCTTCGTCACCGGCTTCATCCAGATCTGAAAGCGTACGGAGGGTAAGTCCGACGCGAGAAGACGCTGTTGTCAGAGGCGGACGTTTAAAGTCCCCCCCCCCCAACTCTCTCTCTCCGTCGTTCGACTAAAATTCGGACAGTTTCAGGAAAAACATGTGTTGCATTTTTGGGAGGGTTCCAGAAAATCCAGAGCATCTTTCGCGGAAGGAGCTGTGCGCTCTTTTCACGGCGGAATTTGCGAATCGTTTGAACGTTCGCTCGAAAAGCGTCGAATTTAGCTGAAGGGACAGAGAACTTTACTACGCGGTTTCACTTACGTAGGGCACGGTATCGTAAAGGATCTTCGGAAAGGATTCGTCGAGCTCCATTGTGGCCATATTGAAGCGAGCGCCGTCGAGAAATAACCCGTAGACGTATATCCCGTCGACGGGCGGACTTTCGAAAACGGTATCCTTCAAAGGGAAGAAATCGTAAATCAGCAGATCGATGGGAATCGAATACTTCCTCGCGTAATTCTGCCGGGCGCCGGTGAGAAACGCTTGCGTGAAGTAGAAACCGGAAATCCAGAAAGACGTGGGAGGCCCTTCCGTGTACCAAGTCTGAAAAGAAGGTATAAATATTTATTTTAATACTGTTTAATTAATATAATTTTGAACGGTTAAAGTTCTCGTTACGTAAACAAATCTGATTTAGTATGAAATATAATGTCTACATGAGGGTATCGAGCATAAAGAAAAGCTAGTTTCTCATCTTGATCTTGATCGTTATTTAGTTAACTAAAATAATTTTAAACAAGTTAAAGTTCTTGTATAAATAATGTTGAAGTTCTTATATAAATAAACCTGACTTATTATGAACTATAACACGTCTACAATTTCATGAAATCGATAAAATGATAAAATAGTAAGTAAATAACAATTTAGATATAAGCAAATGGAACAAAAAGGAGCATAAAAGCCTCACAAGATATATGTGCGCAAAATTGTTTATCCAATCCAATTAGGTATAAATAATATAAATATATATAATTTCAAATGTACATTTGAAATTATGTATATCTATATATTTATAATATTTTATTTATAATTTATATCTAATTAGATTGGATAAAATGATAATTTCTACATAAGTATGTGATATTATTTCTACATAAATAAATAGATATCATAAATAGATATCATAAATGAAATCAAGCATTTTGTGAAAAATTCGAAAAGTCGAAAAGCTGTAATTAAATTCCAATGTTATAAATCACTTTCGATTAAAAGAGGACTAAGGACTAAGAAATTACATAATTTGGAACGTTTAATTTTTACGACAAATAAAATATTCAAGATGTAATCCATTTCCTAATTTTACTTGGAGAAAATTCAGCCTCTTCAGAAAATCATATATGTAGCTGCCGAGCGGCTTCAGGGAAGGGTAGGAAGCTCTCATCCACATCTTGGGTATCCTGCCGATGATGATCGACGAGTAGACCTCCTCGAGATTGGGCTCCATTATCACTAGACCTAAAAACGGATGCGAGTAGAATTTAGAGGGATCGCAAGACACTCGCGAAGCGTAAAAGGGAACTCGTTCATCCATTACCCTTGATCGCCCTCTGAACGTTCACGAGGCTACCGCGGATGGTCTGCAGGAGTCTGTTGAATCTGCCCATCTCCTGGACCAGCACCGTGTTCATGCTCTGCTCGTACAGCGTGGGATATCTGTTCAGGGCGGCCACGAGATCGTAGTCCTGCGGCAATCGCGACAGGATGTCGGATGAGACGCCGTAGACGATCTCGTCCGGCGATTTCTCGGCGCCCTCCACTTCCTGGCCGGTGACTTCCTGGATGGAAAATCGGAGGAGCTTAACGCGGGGCGCTCGCAAACTTTTGGCGCGAGGTCGTCGCATTTCGCTGATTTAACTCTGTTAAGAGGACTCGAGCGATAGATTTTGTTTAACTTAGATTGAAGAACGAAGACTCGACGCGAAGTTTAATAATGCTGTTTTATAGCTGTTTGTAGCATTGTTAATTTTAATAGATAGTGCGATGGTCTAAGGACTCTTCCGTCGCATTATTTTCATATATTTAAATCCATCGCTCTTTTCTTATTAGTAAGTAATAAAATAACGTCTTTTTGTAAAAAATAAAATATTCCTTTTCTATGCTCTTCAAATAATTTTTAAGGAATTAATTCTGTATAAACATCTTAACGCGTTTGAAGATTTTTGGATTTTGCAATGATAGGTAGGAATATTACCGTCTTCTTTGATTTCCCTCCTTGACGCTAATCGCGTGAAAATTAAACGATATTGTTATTTGATTTTATTTCTACTTCGTGAAAGTTACTTTCCCAAATAAATATAAATATATTACTTTGAACTCCTTAATATTCTGAACAAAGATGAAAAGACAAAAGAAATTCTTATTATTCTATCGTAATGGAGGAATCGGGGATTAAAATGAAGATAAGGGAAAAAAGTCAATAAATTATACAGGAGGATATCGTTCACCTTATGACGCTCGAACTTTAATTCTCATGCAACACTAGTCACGGAACGATTACGAAAGCTTCAAGAAGAATATCTCGGCGGTTGAGAGTACAAATACATTAGATCTTATATTAAATTGTAAGAACATATACGATTTAATATAAGATTATATTAAATTGTAAGAAGAAACACTTTATTTAATAATACATTATCGATGCATTACGTTTATAGGAAAATGGGGATATTTTATTTTAAAAGATAATCTCACTTAAAAGCGTCCTTACGAGCTTCTTCGTATCACACTTCACCGCCTTTTTATAATTTATCTCGAACCGACCGGAACACGCGTGTGGACGTGCGATAAATCGTCGTCGCCGACGAACCGCGTGAGAGGAGTGTGTAACAATCAATCTCGGCGCACTCGTTTAATACTATACCTGAGTGGTCAGGATGGAGGACAGCATCAAGTAGCTCTCCTGCTGATCCTTGATGATGTCAGCGTTCTCGTGCATGCCGAAGACGCTGGGCGTGGTGGTCATTGGCAATTCGCTCACGTAATCGAGGAATTGACTGTACTCGCTGACCGGCGGTACGTAATAAAGGCCGCTGGGATCGAACAGATACTTTCGCTCGACCACGATCACGTCCTCGTGATAGAATCGCATCAGGATCGTGTTGAGGGTCCGTCGGTCCCACTCGTCGGTCACGCGACCACCGTAATTGCACTCGCCTTGAGAAAACAGAGGATTAGAGCACGTAAATTCGTTGCTCACTGTGGCTTATCAATGCTTCGAATTCTATTTCTTATCATAACACTTTCACAACAATTCCTTATTTATTTAACATTAATTTAATTTAATATGCATAATATATTTCACAATATATTAAATATTAATATTTTATTTTATATAATGAAATATTAATGTAATATATTATATTTATATTCGATATAATTATTATTTTTTAAATATATTTTTGTATAAAATCATTATGCATATTTGTTTTTAATCCATTGAGTTCCATTATTAACGTTCACTTTTCCAGCTGAATCTCAAATCTAATTAAAAATAGGAAACCGTTTATTATTTACTTTTAATATAATTATTTAATATATTTTAACACACTTATTTTTATGTCTACTTTTGATGTGAAAATTTTGTTCGTGCGCGTAATTGGGCGAAAAGTGTAAACAAGAAAGTTTAAAGTAAAAACAACGGAATTTAATTCGGATACCAGTGAGATACTTCAACGCGGTGAACTGAACGTCGTCGTACTGGTCGAGTAAGATCTTGAGCTGCAGCACGCTGATACGCAAATCCGTCTCGTTGAACTCGTACTGATTGTTCCAGCCGATCGGCCCGAACTTCCGTCGCTCCTGCACGATGCCGTGAAAGAAGCAGAGCGAGAAGAGCAGCTGTTTAAAGGTCAGCTGCTGCTTGGACGTGTCGAAGAAGTCGGGATCGCATATCGGGTCCTGTCCGCGAACCGAATCTCTTAGAATTGAATCTCCCGTCTCCTTTAGCGAGAGCGACGAAGTGGATGAGGAATTGCCTCTTACCTGGTGAAAAGACCGCAAGATATTCGCGCGCAGCCCTTTGGGAGGCTCGTTCGTCATCTTCACGCCGTTCTGCAGGACGCTGACCGGAAAGTGCTCGACCGGATAACTCGTCAGCCACAGCCGGAAGTCGGGGTGCACCGTTTCCTTCGTAAAACCCTCGCATATCTAAATAAAGATAAGACAGCAAGTAATGGAACGAAAGGAAGAAATTAAAAGGCGCGCTTTAAGCAAGATAACAATACACTTTTTAAAATAATGCTCAAAATTCAAGAGTTAGAAGTAATAAGAGAAATTTGTAATAGTCATACATTTAAATTCAAGCGTACAAGAATGATTTTGAAAGATCGAAAATTTTGCTAAATACAGATTTGAGAAAAAATTTTGTTCGATCATCAGAAAAAATTATGTTGGAATATAAAAAAATTTGGTACTCTGGCAACAAGTTTATGTGTTTCCAGCATAATTTTTTTGATACCTAATCCAACAAAATTTATTTTTAAATCTGTATCCAACAAAATTTTAAATCTTTCAGAATTCTTTTTGTGTAATAACAAGTCTAATTATTCTAACAATAAGTTTAAAGGTATTAAACACATTTATAAAAGAAATCTGTAAATTATGTGTGTAAATTATAATAATTTTTTATATGCTGCAAATGTAAAATAAATTTCAAATTAAAATTTTATTTTATAGACCTTTCAGGAGTATAATTTTAATTAAAATTATATGTTATAATTAATATTATTTTTCTTTTAATTTTAAAATTATTAACGATTAATGCTAATATATTTTTATTATCTAAATACGTACGTGTCTTTAAAAAGAAAAATACAAAAAAAGAAAATTTAATTAATCAATTTAATCGTTTCGCAACAAAAACCACGGAAAATCTTAAAAAAAGCTCGGTCATAAATTTGATAAAAAGTTACAAACCAGTAATTTTGACTGCTTCAGTAGTTTCAATGTTAGTCTGTTTAATCGCGTAACAAATTCGATTTGTGTGATTTGTGCGAGAAGTTACTTTTTCCAGTGTGACCATAAAGGTCTTGACGACGTGACAATTTTGCAGCACCACCCATGTGCCGCTCTTCACGCCTTCGTCAATGAGTCCCTCGGCGATGATCCCCTGACCTTGGCCGAGGGACAGGGAGAAGAGTCTGTTGGCACCGAAGCCCTGATCGTCGGCGAACTTCAGCAGGATCGCCATGGGATCCGCGCCGGGTGTCAGGACGAATATCAGCGGGATGCAGGAGTGCGAGTCCGCGAAAGAGGCCGCCAGATCGAAGGGCGGTGGCACGATGTACTGACGCCCTAATTGTTCTATCGAGTGATCGAAAATTCAAGCCAAGTAAAATAGCGACGGACGGTATCGGTTGTCGAACAATTTCAGTTCAAGAATCTTCGGCTTTACGTTATATATATATATATATACACACATATATACAGAGAGAGTTATTCTTTCGTATTTTATAAAGGAGAGGAAATAAGGGCATAAAGGGATATATGGCATTATACGCGGAGAGACCTACTTCCCCATTGTCGCAAAGAATTTAATTTCGTCCCTTCGCTCGAAATGTACGGCCCGTCCTAGATTCCCCCCGGTTATACCCGTGTACCCTTCATCTGGGTCGATCTATTCTTAGATTTTGGTGGCCTCCTTTTCTTTTTTTAAACAACTTTACCTTCGACGAATAATTGCGCCGCCGGCACTATCTTGTCGGGACGTATGCAACGTAGCACCAGCATCTTTTCGAAATTGCTCAGTTTGTCCCAGGGAGCGGGAAAGGACGAGGTGTGAGGCTCCTTGTGATCGAATACCCTCTTCCACTCGTCGATACTTCTCGTGAACGAGTCTCTTATTCCCTGAATTGCAAAAAAAAGCAATCTCGTTGCAGTAAGACTTCACGTTCTAATAAACTACCGTAACTAAATTTCTATAACAAACCAATAATATATTAAAGAAATTCCGTTAAATTTCATGGAGATATTCGATCGATTTTTACGAAGAATTTTACCAGAGCCAATTAAATAAGGCTTTGGTAAAGAAAAATATCATGCAAAATTATGATTGATAAAAATTGATTTTTGATAAAAAAAATATCACGCAAATTTATTATTGGTAAAAATTGGCTTTAGTAAAGAAAAATATCACGCAAAATTATTACTAATAAAAAATTGGCTTTGACAAAGAAATTTAATATATTTTTTATAGAGAACGTTTGGATTAACGTTACTCCGGAAAGTTTACCGTAAATCCTGGCACGCTGTCCAATCGGCACAACTCGTCCCAGGACCTCGCCGGTAGCCATTCGGTGGGATTGACGAAGGGATTCTCGAGGCCGACGCCGCCGGTCAGCAGGAACATCCAGTGAGCCATCGAGAGCTGGCCTTGCTTGTTCAGCAAGTTCACGGCTAGCAGAAGCGAGAAGAGCAGCTTGTCCTTCTCGAAGAGCGAGCGGCATATGTTGACGTACAGGGAATAGGTGAAGCACCTGGTGAGATCCTTCAGACGCTGCTTTATGTCCTCCACCGGCGGCGTGTTGTCGATCGTATTCTTGAAGAGATTGACGAACCAGGCGAGTGAATACTGGTACATCGGATCGATATTCGCCAGCATGACTGCGAGGAAGATTAACGAAACGCTTCGATAAACGTTACTTTCGCAAACTTATTTTTTAAATGATAACATACGATATGTTATTGTTTAAATTATTATTTTTAGATATACTTTTGCTTTTTAGACATAGATACTTTAAATTTACTTTTAGATTTCAAATGGATTTAAAAATGACAGAGAGTTAAAAAATAATAATTAAGGATCACGTATTAATTAAAGTTTAGCAGTTATTTTTCTTATTATTATTAGAGCATGTATCTCATATATTTTGTTTTTATATACTTTAATAGAATTTAATAGGTGGTCTGTTCAAACTTAGCGATTTTCCCTCGAGCTATGGATAAACGTTATTTTTGTTTGCTCACCGATAGTGAAGAAGAGAACTGTAGTATATACTGCAATCGGCGTGTACTGCAATCTCGCTGCGTCGATCGACTTCTCGGTAATTTCAGCCGCAGTCTGTTTAGTTTGAATCTCGTTGGCCAGACTTTTCGACGAACTCAACACGCTGATGGCGGTTTCGTCCTCGAGTATGTTCTCCTTCGCTGCTTGCAGCACCTCCAAGATCTTATTCTCTATCTCCTTTAACATCCTGCGGGAAAAAAACGTTGCTAAAAATATCGCTGGTCAGAGCAATAAATAATCCTCAAATTGCAAATTCGCAAAGCTTTACCGAGAATTTATATTTATTTACATACAAAATTTATTTGATTTATACATATTCATTAGGAAATTATCGGCAGTTTATTTCATCAATTAAAAATTAAATGCCCACGGATAATTACGGATGATAAATTTTATTCGTCAAAGCGACTGTAAATGTGTTTCTCAACTTTATGTAATAATTTTATAAATAAAGGATATTTAATGATCGTTCAATCACGAGTAATTTTATGATGATTTAATTTACTATTTTAATATTTATTTCAAATAAAAATATAAAGGTAAACGATAGAATTAGAGTAGTAGAAAGATGTTCTTTTTATACTTTTTATTAGCCGCTCCTTGAACTATCAGCTGATTTTTCTCGGATTCGAGCTCGGGTCTTTCCTTCGCAACGACTATTCCTAGAAGCTGATCGTCCAGACCGACCGGAGTGATCATGAAGTTCAACAGAGTCACTTTCACCACCACTTCCGGCAAATAGTGTGGATTTCGCAATTTCGTAGTAATGTAAAATCTACGAAAATCACACATTCTACCATCAAAATTTGTAATTTATAAATGAATCTCTCAAATGCGTGAAATTCCCTTACGGAAATTTAGTACTGCAAATTTAGTACTCCAAATAATTATTTATTTACAAAAAATCCTAATTTATAAAAAATTTATAAAAAATCCAAATAAATATTTATTTATTTTGAGTATTAAAAGCATCAAGAGACAGTGCTGATAAATTGACAAAAAACAATTTATATCAAATCTATTCCTGCTTATCAAATTTCTTATCATTTTAAATTCAGATCTTATTGAAACAAAATAAAATGTAAATAAACAATGTGATTTATAAATTATGGATTTCAAATCACAGTAGCCAACGTGTCAAGAGTGGAATGTAAAATTCAAGCGATGAGACTCACCGAAACTTGTCGGAATACTCGATGACGCTGTCGCCGATCTTGATGCATAGCGCGCCGCCGGATCTGAAGGTCTGCTTCATCAGCAACGGCTCCAGGGCCGCCTCCAGCTCCTCTCCGATGTTCTCCAGCAGCACCGGCTGCCCGAACTGCACGGCGTTCTCCAGGATCCTCATGTAGTCCGGCTGCGTCAGTCGGACGACGTGCAGATTCGACGCCTTCTCCATGTTCTTCACCCACTTGTTCGCCTGGCCCTGCGGGTCGATCATGAGCGGCCAGCGGCGCGAGTTCGTGATGATTATGGCGTTGTCGATGGAGAACAGGTCGCTCGGCAGGCCGAATATGTTCCAGCTGCGGATGAGCACCGGATCGCCCAGCACTTGCGTGAGCTGGAAATCCTGGGTGCAGACGACCTTCAGACTGGTGCAGAACTTCACCCACTCCTCCACTTGCCGCTGCCGATACTGCATCGTGAAGACACCGAGATAGGCCACCACGCTGGAGCTGATCAGGATGTCGCCCGTTAATCTGTAGTAGCCTTCCCCGAGCGATCTGCCAGTAACCACGAGGGTTTCAAGTCATTTCGGCCATTAATTATTAAGATTGCAAACCATCGATAAATAAAGCAAAAATTGGCAAATATAAAAAAGATAGAAATCAAAATAGAAGGCAAAATGTAGGTGGATACAATATTAATTTAAATGATGGAGACTACGTATTAAATCGTCTAAATGGTTTTGATTCTATCAGAAAAAGAAAAAAAAAGAGATCGAATATAGCAAAGTAACAATAAAATATCGTACTTTGCGGCCTCGGACCATCTGATGTACTCGCCACCGAGACCCCCGATCAGCTCCTCGGCCCTCCTCAGCTTCTCCTCGCACTCCTTCACCTCGTCGGTCATCGCCTGGTACTCCATCCTTCGTTGCGCCAGCAGAGTCTCCAATCTGGCCAATCTCTCGCGCACCTCCTGCAGCAGGTTCCTCTTCAGCGTCAGCTGCTCCATCGCCCCGGAGTAGTCGGCCTCGGCCTTCGCCAGGGCCTGCTTCTTCGGCGCCACCACCTTGGCGACCTTGTCGTACTCCTCTAGGGCGAACACCCAGCGGCAGAGGCCCTCGCAGGCGGTCGACACCTGCCGGATACGCTCCGGATCGAAATTCGGATTCGTCAGGATCGTCGTGCGGATCTTGTTCATGATGCGCTCCGGGATGTTGTCCTTGTCGTAGTTCAGCAGCGACTCCAGAAACTTTAAATCGCCGAGAACGCGGAGCGACGGCTTCCAGTAATCGTCCACCGGACCCACCTTCTCCGGCTTCACGTCCTGCACGATTTTCGAAGGGGTTCTTGAGCAAAGAGCAATCAGATTTGAAGCGGAATTTGATAGCTCATTATTACACACTGCATATTATAAAATATTATAATATTTATATATGTGTTACGAATTTGTATATTATAAATCTGGCACGTTAATGATATACCTACGTTAATGATAAATTCAATTAGGTGCTACATAAATATGTATTTTATGTATTAATATTTATGCGTTATTATACTCATGCAAGTTGGAAACTAAATATCGTTTGACGTCGATTAATTTTCTGTTTTTGCCAACGAGCAAAGTACACATTTGCATATTGTTTACTTCACAATTATTTAATAAACCTTCAGTATGCAAATCGCTTCCATGACCAGTCGCACGCCGGCCGGCGGACGTTTCATGGACTTGACGATCTGGATGTCCTGCGGAGTCAGGGTGTTCAGAGCGGCATTCGCTGCGTCCAGGATCGGCATCACTTCCTGAAGATTCGCGTCGCACTCGGCGCGGATCTCTTTGGCTCCCGCGGCGACGACCTAATGCAGCGCGTAAATTATAATTAATCCTTATAAATCCCTCTAGTTTAATATATTTATTTATTTATATATATTTATAATATATATAAATTACAATATATTTATAATATATTTATTTATTCATTCATAAATTTATTTATTTATAACTATGATTATATTTATATTGCTGTATGTACTCCTATTAATATCGGTTTTACGGTATCTTGAATCTCCTCTCTCGTGAGATAGAAGCTTTCTTTACCGTATAAAACCGTCAGGATGTCATAAAATATTTTACCTATATTATCTATATTATATAACAAAAAGTATCTGTACAACGAGAATCATACATAAAGTAAACATTTTTTTTCACATACAATTCACGTTAACAAAATATACATACAAAATTATTTCTTAATATAATCTTTTATTTTTACAACATATTTGTGTTACAGTTCACAAGTCTTCTGATTTTGTCTGTGAAGGTTTTTGACTGCCTTCGAAGCCACATATGCACTACGTCCATAACTTTCTCGTCACTAAATATTCCGCCGGCAACGCAGAGCTCTTCTTAATGATTTAAACAAATGGAAATTAAAAAGAGTAAAGTCGGGACTGTAGGCTAGATGTAGAAGAAATTCAAATTTCAGTTGTCTTAAAGTTTTAATCCAAAAACCTTCTAAACGGAATCAGAAGATTGTAGATCGTTACAAAATGTGTTGCAAAATTAAATGATTATATTGAGAAATTATTTTGTATGTATATTTTGCTAAGGTGTATATGGGAAAAAAATAAATTTACTTTGTTTTTTTATTTTCCGTCGTATATGAATTAAAAATTAATTTATAATAATTGTCGCATATAAATTAAAAAATTAATTATTCATTTAATATTGTGGTGTGCATATTTTAATTTAGTCTTAAACTGTATGCTCTTTATATAAAAATTTAATTTAATCTTAAACTGCTGCATGTTTATATAAAATGCTCTTTATTTAAAATGGAGAAAAAACATAGGAGAAAACTGATTCCTAAGGAGTAAAAACAACGTAGCATTTTAATGAGTCTTTTAGTGAAACAAACAGACACAAACATTTTATCCTTCTTAGTATACGTATTAAGATTGTAAGTAACAAAAACAGAACAATACTTGTGTCAACCAAATGGAGAGCACTCAATACTGTTTTGACTACAGTTATAACAATTTATTTTGCAAACATTGTTGTTTCATAAAAATTAAATTTTATATAAAATATAGATAAATTTACGAGTTCGCTTTTTTTCATCCTTATTTGCATTCAAATCAATTAATTTATTTTCACGTCTTATACTTTAATCTTTAGCTTTTAAAATAACGTTTTATCCGCGTTCCTGTATTTCTTCTCAACAATACAAATTTATATAAAGATATAAAATGTAATGAAGGTACTCTCCAGATGAAATACTCAAGTTAAAAGTATAATAATACGTATAATAAAAATATAATATATATAAGTATAATAATAAACATTGTTATACTTTTGATTTCCGACCGACTCACATACGTGATCTCATAATATTGTAGTTTTATTTTTTTATTGTCAGAATTGGCTTGCAAACTTTTAAATACTTATCATTTATTATTTCAGTTTTAGTATTTATCATTTTAAATTATGACATCTTTATTGGTATTATTTACGTTATTAATAATTTTACGTTTTTGACACGATTGGAAATTGTAGATACTGAAGAAGCGAACATCTCTATATCACTGCTATACCATTCCAACCACGGAAACTGTTACAAATTTTGGATTGGGCAATCTGAGAGTGATTCAACCTCAGTCCTTCCGTTAGCGTTTGATCACAGTTAACTTTGCTAAAAATGACTCAAAGTGGAACCGAAACGTTCGAATAAAGTTGAAATAATAAACTTTAATATTCTGTCTTAATTGAAAATTTGCACTCTACCACGCTGTTATTCTTATTAGCCCTTTCTAGATTCTTAAATTATTTGTCTTTCTATTAACGAGTAGTAATAAAATAGACGCAGGAAAGAGGAGAAATCTAAAGTGACACTATTTGCCCCCCCTTCTCATAGGTTTCTGGTCAATATGTTGTTATTTTATCATTGTGAATAAGACATCTATCAGTTAAACATTCATCATTTTTGTCTTAAAAGTGTAAATCATCAATAGTGGTCAAAATATAATGTCGAAGTAAAGTGTTCTTGCTAACAAAAGGTAAATTAGCGTGTTTCATTTACAATCGTGTTAATAATGATCACGTAATATTGTATAATTTTAACTTAAAAAAATTTTTTCTCAAACAGAGAACCAGGTGTGTTATCGTAATATTACATATATACATATGTGTAATTATAATTTTGTGGTTTACGTTTTATTATTAAACGTTAGTAATAACAATGTCTTTTTAGAAACATGAATTGTGATCATGAAAAAGAGCAAACTGATTGTTTTTGTTAAAAATTAATAAACGCATAAAAAATCTTCAAAGATTAATTTCAATATTTTATGTTTTATTGTCCACATGTTACAATGTCATAAACTAAAGAAGAAATAAGTCTAACTATCTACTATACTAACTAATAAACTAACTACTAATGTAATATATGTATATGTATATGCAGAATATTATACCAAACATATTATACCAAACATATTATACCAAAATTACATATTATACCAAACATATTATACCAAAATTACATATTATACCAAAAATGTAACTTCAAATATTTCATACACTTTACTATATAATTTTCTATACTACTTTATGAGAAGTATCGTTTTTCAATTTTGACTTTAAAAGGCTCAGAACTAGATAATGTTGTGTCGAATATCAATTTTATTTTATCTAATTCAACACTTTTATTAACCTTGAATATGAATGTTCGGATCAATGTTGCTACTATGACTTTCGTACACATCATTCCGTATTTCATACCTGCAATTTAATAATTATATAAATCAATTTATCATGATACTTTATACTTTATTGATGCCTACCTATACAGTTTCTTGGTCCATCACTAAACGGGAAATAAGAAAACTCATGACAATCCTTTATTCTTTCTGGGAGAAATCTATCAGGATCAAACACAAATGGGTTTGGCCAATACTTTTCGTCTCGATGTATTTTTATAATTGGTATAAAAATATCTGCACTTTTTGGTATAACAACCTCTCCTAAAACATGTATTTTTGTATTAAAAGATTATTGCAACAAAAATATAGTGGCCATAAATAA